TAGTCTGATGGTATCTAGTCTGCAAATTAATTCCTGTTCTGCCGCTTCACATTGGAGTCTGTTTTTGAAGTTTTTTTGTTGAAGAATTGCCACTTTGAGGTCTGTTATTGAGTGACCAGAGAGATTGAATGTTCTCCTACTGGTTTTTGAATGTTAGGATTCCTGATATCAGATTTGTGTCCGTTTATTCTTTTGCGTAGAGACTGTCCGGTTTGGCCAATGTACGCCATCATGTGCCAGCAATGCTCTTCTGCCTCTTGCAGAGATGGAGTTATTAAGTCAGCATTGTGGGTGAGTTACGTTGGTGGGAGCCACATTTTAGTGTAGATGCTTACAGAGTTAGGTCGATGTAAACTGCCTTATGTTGACCTAACTCTGTAGTGTAGATCAGGCCTTAGTAAAATCTTCCAAATGCAGCTAAAGAATTGTTTTCCTTCTGAGTCTGTAGGCAGCCTGAGGCAATAGCCTTGAGAAATGTGAACTCCTCCATTTTTTTTGTGGGGGTATTAAGCCCAATATCAATTTAAATAACTAACATTGATTTTTTTTTTTACACTTAAAAGGCTACACAGGCGCAGCTGTGCCACTTTAGTGCTTCAGTGTAGAGACTACACATGCCGATGGGAGGGGTTCTGTTGGTGGCATAGGTAATCCGTCTCCCTGAGAAACAGTAGCTAGGTCAGCAGAAGAATTATTCGGACAACCAAGTGCTGTCTGACATGGATTTGTCAGCTTAACTATGTCATTCATGGGTGCGGGTTTTTCACACCCCTGAGTGACATGGTTATGACCTAATTTTCTAGGGTAGACCAGACCTTTTACTGATGATAACTTTAAGAGAAATATCCAGTTACCCTGAGTTTGTAGTTTGAGTATCTGCATTTTCTTTCTAAATTGAAGCTCTCTCTTCACTAGTTTCAGAGTAGCAGCCGTGTTAGTCTGTATCTGCAAAAAGAACAGGAGTACTTGCGGCACCTTAGAGACTAACAAATTTATTAGAGCATAAGCTTTCG